GTTTTTTTTTTTTTTTTTTTTTTTTTTTTTTGGTACTCGGTTGTACAGTAGAGACGACGGGTCCAATTTTTGGCTTCAGCCTTGTACATACGCATTTCCATCGAAATGCTTTGTCAGTAGGGTCCTGTGTTGTTTTTGCTACTCGGTTGTACAGTAGAGACGACGGGTCCAGTTTTTGGCTTCAGCCTTGTACATACGCATTTCCATTGAAATGCTTTGTCATATATTTGCTTTTGTTTGTGTTCCTCTACCAACATTGGTCTTGCATCTGAGTCGCTGTTGTTTTGTGAGTGGTTTCTGGTTTGTTGTCGTGATTGTTGCAAATTATGTGCTTCTCCGATGCCACGCACCTGCATGTCATGGATGCCTCCATTTTGAATGTGTTGTTAATTTCGGATGCCAAATAGGGATGATGTGGTAATGAATGTGTTCTTACACAAACTTTCACCAGTCTGATGAGTGAACACACACTATGACACACTTGCCTGTTAACATTGTTTGAAACTTATGGCTGGCCGCACTGTGATTGATTGTGATTGTGTTGTGACTTTGGTATGCCAACCAGGGTCTGACCTATGATTGCCATGAATGTGTTGTTTCAAAATATGTCAAGAACTGTCATCACCCTCACGAGTGAAATCGACGCCTGCCTGAGGCCCTGATCTGCCTGGGGTCTGCCATCTGCAGCCCCGTCCAGCTTCGACCCGACCTGGGCGCACGGGCCGCCCCAACCACGCCCTCATCCAACCCCCGTTGGTCCGCCCCCGCAGGGGTCAAATTTTTTATTTTTTTTTCTAGTGTTCCAGACCCTCCTCCCTGCGACCCCACATCGACGAACCCGCACGCGCCCGACGCACAAATTTTTGCGGCCCACCCTTCCAAGGCCATGTGCAGGACCCCCCCATTTTTTTATTTTTTTGACGTTCTGCCACTGTGAGGGGGTGCCCCCCCAACCCCCCACCTCAAACCCGCTCCCCGCTTTGGAAACCGCCCCCTAGATCGGTCGTGGCCAAGGCCGAAAAAACTCGGCCGGGCCGGCTGCGGCCGGGGGGGTCCCGGCCTAGGCAGACGACCGCGGCCTGGGCCGAACCAGGCCGCGGCCAGCGTGCAACATAGCTCTGAAGCAGTTCCTTGGTAAGATCAAGGAACGCTACCTGGACAAGACTACGACCGATAAGGCCTTTGACCAACTCACTACCATTGGTCACAAACATTGGACCTCTGTGGAAGCTTTGTCTCGGGAAGTCGACCGGTTGCTGCAGGTTCCTGGATTGAACCTACAATACAACCCAGTCTTGTATATCTATTCCCGCGCTCTGCCCGAGCCCATCCGGGGACAACTCGTGGCAGAGTCCAAATCTGGCAAGTACAATTACAAGCAGTTTCGTGATTTGGCTCTCCAACGTGAGCAAATGACTTCTCAGGTTAAGAACACGCATGCGTCTGTTGTGAAGTTTGGTGGTGGTGCAGGTGCAGGTAAGTGGATACTTTGGCGCCAAAAGCGTCAGGACCACACCCTCGTCATCTTCGACGACGATACCGTGGAGAAACGGCCATTGGAGGTCACGGGTGTGGCGAGCAGCAATGAGTCTGGGAAGGGGGAAGTCACTGCTGCAGCGGTCAACAACGGAGGACCACGACCACCCGTGAAGAAGAAGAGACCACGCTCCTACGCTCCTTTCCTGAGCATCCCGGAATTGCGGTCGGTAAGCTATGGGAAAAGAAGGGACTGTCACAAGAAACCTGGCAGAAATGGATGGATAACGCGCAGTGCTTGAAGTGTGGTACTGTAGGGCATGTGATTGCATGGTGCCCGTTAATTCGTAACCCAAAAGCGAGCCGCCAGGAGGAGTAGCATCTGCTTCTACTGAGCCAAAGGGTTTGGACCAAGATGAAGGTAAGGCGCCTACAACCCCTTCTAACCCTTTGACTCTCATGGCAGAGGATGGTTCTTCTTCGACCCATCGTCCGGAACACCTTTAACTTGTCTTATGTACTGTCTCCCTGGACGACTCTCTTGACGAGCTTGGTAACGAGTTGCTAGCATTACGAAGCTCGTGGGCTAAGAAATCTAAGTCTAAGGGTGACCTACTACTCGCGGACATAGAGATTACACATACACGCGTAGGTGCACTATTGGACTCAGGATCCACGCGATCCTACATATCCGAGAAAGCAATACGCAAGTTGCATCTCGGAATGAAGGTGAAGGATCTATCTCGACCTATCACGTTTATTTTAGCTGACAGACGCATGATCACTATCTCGCAGTGTGTTGATCGTGTCAAGTGTCGATTCCGCACCAAGGAAGGAAAAAAGATTCTATACGAGGTATCCTTTTCTTGTGGAAAAGAACTTACCATTTGATCTGATTTTGGAATGGATTGGCACAAAATTATTCCTGCCATTACTAGTAGTAAGATTCCCAAAGGCCCTATCTACCGAATGTCTCCTAGGGAACTTAAAAAACTTGACAAACAGCTGCAGGGCTCAATAGAGAAAAGATGGATTCGCCCTAGCTCCTCTTCTTATGGTGCCCCTGCTCTATTTGTGCCGAAGAAGGAAGGTGAGTTACGTCTTTGCATTGATTATAGAGGGTTGAGTGCCCTCACTGTTAAAAATGTCGAACCTCGTCCACGTATTGACGACTTGTTGGATCAATTGCAGGGCTGCAAGTTTTTTAGTAAGATTGATATAAAGTCTAGATACCACCAGATCGAGGTGGATCTCGCGGATCAACACAAGACTGCCTTCCGAACCAGGTATGGTCACTACGAGTTCGTGGTTATGCCTTTCGGACTGAATAACGCCCCTACGACCTTCCAAAGATCTATGAATGAAATATTTTGTCAATGGTTGGATCAGTTTGTCATTGTCTATCTCGACGACATTCTTGTGTACAGTAAGACACTAGAAGAACATGAAAAACATTTACGTCTTGTACTGGGAAAGTTGCGTGAGGGCAACTTTAAGCTAAACCCAAAGAAGTCTGAGTTTGCTAAGTCCGAAGTCTTATACTTAGGACATATAGTAAATGAAGATGACCTAAGGCCAGAGGAAAAGAAAATATCAGCAATTAGAGATTGGCCACGACCTAAGTCGATAACTGAACTAAGATTTTTCCTTGGTTTGGCAAGCTATTATATGAAGTTTGTTAGAAACTTCTCACTGATCGCTGCACCAAGGAGGAAATTGTTAAAGAAAAAAACTATATGGTTGTGGGATTAGGACTGTGAGTCTTCTTTTAAGAAATTGAAATATGCACCGACTTACTATCCCGTTCTAAAAATTGTTGATCCATCTCTTCCTTTCATCATCACTATTGATGCAAGTCGGAACGAAATTGGCCCAGTACTGCAGCAGAATGATGGCAATGAAAATAGACCCGTGGAGTTCATGTATGTCGGACTGTCGTTGGAAAAGGTCGCCAACTCCACCTATGAAAGGGAACTGTATGCACTAGTCTGCGCACACAACACCTGAAACACTACTTGTTAGGGAGACACTTCACTATGTATTCAGACCACTCTACCCTGAAGTGGATGAAGACACAACCTAGACTCTCTGATAAGCTGGTACGATGGTCTGCATTTATTGATACTTTTGATTTTGAATTAAAAATAATCGAAGGTAAGTCTAATGTGGTTGCACATGTATTATCCAGACAGTGTGATTTCTTTGGTGGGGTTGTCTCTTATTTGGATATTGGGATTGATTTGAAAGGTAAAATTCGCCAAGGATATGCTACTGACCCTATCTGGAAGCTTATCATGGATGTCCTTGCGAAAGACCCAACTCTACTTCCCAACTATAGAGTAACTGATGGTTTGTTTTTCTTGTTAGACCAAACTGAACAAAGATTGTGTATTCCTCACCAAGAAGAAATCAAAAGTCTGTTAATTGTGGAATGTCACGATTTTGAAGGTTATTTTCGATTCAAGAAAACTGACGCAGAGGTTAGAGAACTCTGTGAGTGGAAGGGACTGAAAGAAGACGTAGTAACTTATGTTCGCACATGTTTGGTATGTCAGAGAAACAAACCTTCACATGAGAATCCACTCAATCTTCTGAAACCATTACCGATTCCAAGTGAACCAGTTGAGTCAATTTCGATGGATTTTATGAGTCTTACCAGGAGCCGTAATGACAATAGTCAAGTAATGGTTATTGTGGATCGTTTCTCTAAGTACGCCATGTTCATTCCATTACCTGCAGAGGCACGGATAAAGCTTGCGATCCAAAAATTTCAGATGCTATGGATGACTGAATACGGATTTCCCCTCTCCATTGTGTCTGATCGTGACGTTAGGTTCTCAAGTATGCCATGACAAAAGTTCATGGAGGCATAAGGCACACGACTCACCATGCCATCAGGGCGACGTTCTGAAACGAATGGACAAAGTGAGTAGATGAACCGTTTGTGCCCGCAGCGTTTGCGCATGTATGTGAGACCCGATCAAATTGATTGGGACGAGAACTTACCCAATATAGCAAGTGCATATAACAATAGTGTTCATACCGCTACCGGTAGTATGCCCAATGCACTGCACAAAGGGTGGAAACCTAAGCGTCCCATTGACGTACTAACACGGGACCAATTCCTTAGGTTACCTCCAGGTACCCGAGAGTATGCAGTATTGTTTCAAGAAGACATTAAGAAAGTAAAGGACAATCTGAAGAAAGCTCAGGACCAAATGATTGAACAAGCTAACAAGCATCGTCGACCCTCAACATTCAAGGAAGGTGATAGTCTGGGTCAAGTCCAAAGAGTTTTCATTGGAAGAAAATGTGTCTCAAAAACTTCTCCCGTCTATTTTGGACCCTGGGAAGTTCTCAAAGTAATTGGGGATGCAAAGGGACCGTCTTATTGAATTGATATCCCCCCTCACCTCAAAATGTATCCTGTCTTTCACGCGTCCAAATTGTTACCTTATGTAGAAGGAAATGAGTTCCCACACATACCTTCTATGATGCCACCAGACATGGATGGCGGATATTAGGTAGAAAAAATCATAGAACATGGGTACTTTTCTACAGGTGGACGTGGACGACCTCAGAAGCAGTTCAAGGTACGTTTCAAATCTTAGGCACCATGTGAGGACAGATGGTTCAGTAAACGAGAACTACTTGAAACTGCTCCTCATAATGTATCTGCGTATGAACGTGGGTTAAAGTCTTAGTTATTTCTGCAATGGAACTCGAAAATGGGTCGGCAGGAATGCAGTAACCCGTGTTCTGCAGCAGTTTGGGCCCTCGAAACGGAGCCCAAACGACGCAGGCCAAATTTGGCCTGCGCCAGGCAGTGTGACCGCACACTGTCCGTGGGAAAATTAACAGTCTAAGTCAATTCTCAAGTCAAAGGTACCCCGCCCAGACCCTTGGTCGGATACACTCACTTGTTGTGCGCAGGAACCCAAATAGATTTAATATTCCCTGTAGAATCTGACATTGGTTGACACCTAACCACCTAACTGTTTTTGTCCAGGCCGACCGAAGTTAGCGGTGTATCATAATCGGTTGTGTGTCATGCTGAGGTAGGATTCAGTGTGGATTCTAGTTTAGGTCACACACACTGTAGCTTATGAGTGATGCAAACACTAGTGAGGAAGAGTTGTTAGTGGATGACCGTAGGACTACTCGCAGTACTGCCCGGTTGCTTGGGAAGGCCGAGCGGCCTGGAAGTCACCGCCCAAGAGGCAAGCGGGTCGCTATATCTCTAGACCGGGCGAAGAGCCCAACCTCGTTGTCGGTATGCAAGTTTGGCAACACACTGGTTGGAGCGCTGGCTTCTTCTTCTAACCTTCTCTCTCCTCTCAAGTTCGCGGACGCTCTCGTGTCCCGTATCCCCTCGTCTGCCATCCACCTCTGCACCCGCTGAGCAGTGGAAGGCACGAATGTGTAATCCGTGTCGTTCCAGAGTTCCTCGAGAACTCTCATCCCCCCAGCCTTGCAGTACTTCGACTACGTGAAATGGCGCGCGGCCTTCGACGACCCCCCCTGAAACAAGTGGCCTCATAAGTTCCAACGCAACTTTCGGTCCCCATGCATCTTGGACTGGTCCCTGGCGTACTGCCCCGCGGTGACGAAGTTCCAAACCAAGTTCCCCAACCTCAACTTCGCCATCTCCTTCTCCGACAACGGGTTGAACTGGGCACCCCCAGACCCCCCCACAATACCGGTCCCTGCACCCCCCGTCATCGTCCGCCCACCCGAATCCAACAAGTCGTCGCGATGACCGTTGATGTCGTCGGACCGTGCCGCACCGTCGATGCAGTCCCTGACGTCCCCGCTGCCGCCACTACCGCATCCCCCCAATGTCGCCGACGCCCGTGCTCCCCGCGGAGCCCGGCCGGTCGGCCTCACGCACAGCCGCTACCTGAAACGGTCGTGCTCGGTCGTGCCTGACCGCGAGCAGCCTCGTTCGGCCTTGTTCGGCCTCGTTCGGCCTCGTTCGGCCACGGCCGGGCACTAAAATGGTCGCGCGCGGCGATGGTGACGGCTGTCGGGCGGCCACTGGCCGATGTCGGGGCACTGTCACGCCTGGTCGCGCAGCGTGCGCCGCTGCCAACTGCGCACCAAGAAGAAGAAGAAGAAGAAGATCTCTCTCTCTCTCTCTTTCTCTCTCTCTCCAATGCAGCAGGTACGTAGTAAGCCAATCTTGTATAGCTCAACCTCTCTCTCTCTCTCTCTCTCTCTCTCTCTCTCTCTCTCTCTCTCTCTCTCTCTCTCTCTCTTTCTCTCTCAGCGTGCGAGCAGGCAGTTCGGCAGCATAACTGCAACAACAATAACTATTGTCGTTTCAGATAAATGGCAGCATTTATCTGAAACGGCAGATAAATCGCT